GTGCTACTTGGTCCCAATGGAATTTCCCTTTGGGAACCAACTAGCAACTTAGTGCTAGTAGGTTGAAAAAATGAGCCACTGGTATAAACTCAAAAAAAAAGAAGAAATCGTACTTCGGGTACTGGAGTTTGCCTCTGTCTTGGTTGTTTTTGGGCTATCTGACAGCTTGCTCACAACTCTGTTGTGCTTCTGATGATTAGAGAGTGCAGATACACCTGTCTCTCTTCTAATCACCCTCATCCCCACCCACCTGTTATTTTCCCCATCTAAACCTTCCTCTTACAGTCAGTCTCTGCCAAATTGTCTCTTTGCCTGCATGAGCTTCCTTCCCAGTGCTTGTTCCCACCACTTAACCCTGTGTTTCTGTGCTCATCCTGCCCTTACTGGCTGGTTACTTCCTGAACTACCTTTTCAGACAACCACCAGCCCCAAGCCCCAAACAATTAGTCAAAAATTTTAAAATTAGTCTATTATTTACAATTCCGAGATTTGTAGTCTACAAAATGTCTTATTCCCAATAAAACTGCAACATTTTTGCTATATTTGATTTCATTTAACTAATCTCTGAAACCAGAGATTAGTTAAATGAAATCAAGATAGATTAAATCTATCATCCAATTTAAGACCAAGACATTTATTCTCAAAATCAACATCTTCGATAGTTATTTTCAGTTCATTGTTTTCATATTTATTGTATTTTCCAAATATCATATATTTTGTTTTAGATTACTTAAGTGATCTTTTATTTTTTCCAAACTATAATTGTATTTTTCCAAATTCTATCGGGGCCACTTCTAAAAGTTGTTCAACGTTTTTTTTCCTGTACAACTGATTTATTTCATTGTTTCATTTTGTTGTATCTGTGTATGTGCCCTTTTCAGAGAGCACAAAGATACAGTTTATTTAATAATTTTGTTTTACAAACAGCAAGAATTCTAAGAATAATATCCCCACTGAGTCAAAAACAAAACAAAGCAAAAGTTGATTAGTTCCGAGTCTCCTTTCAGCTGATAGTTCCAGTGTCTTTTTTTTTTTTTTTTAAAGATCTCTTTCTATCCTCAAAAACAGAACTGAACATTTTCATGACATAAATAATATAAGTCTAGGATCACATATTTACAGAAGAGGATTAGGGCCACTGGAAAAAAAAAAGTTAAACTGATTTTTACATTTCATTTCAGTATAATATGAGAAAAAAAAAATCAGAATTCTGACTTTAATCTAAGAATTCCGACTTTTTTTTCTCAGAATTCAGACTTTAATCTCAGAATTCTGAATTTTTTCTCTCCCAATTCTGACTTTAATCTCAGAATTCTGACTTTTTTTTCTCAGAATTCGGACTTTAATCTCAGAATTCCGACTGAATTCTGACAGGCTGACAAACATGTTAGCATTAAGCCATAGTCATGCCTGTTTAAGACACTAAACTGAAACTCTTGTTTTAATCACCTTCTGCTCTTCCATTAATGAAATACCCTTCGGACACGTAAAAAGTAGCCTAATTCTGTCATTTTCCACCAATGTGTTACAATGTGCTGCCAAATCTCTTCCTTCATGGTGCCCATCTACATTAAGATCCATAATTCTGACATTAAAGTCAGAATTGTGAGATTAAAGTCAGAATTCTGAGAAAAAAAATCAGAATTTTGAGATTAAAGTCAGAATTCTGAGAAAAAAAAGTCAGAATTCTTAGATTAAGGTCAGAATTCTGATAAACAAAAAACTTTTCCGACAGGGTTCTGACGTTTTTCCCATTTTAAACTGAAATAATATTTTAAAAAATCAGTTCTTTCTTCATTTCTTCTGTGGCCCTAATCCTCTCCAGTACATATCATCTAACTATTAATCTGAAATTACATTTATTTTTTTACTATTTTATTTTATTTTTACATATTATATTTTTACATCTAAACAACGAGCCAATGCCTCCAATATAAAAAAATCCCCAGGAAATGTGCGTAACTGGGAAATAAGTTTTTCACTAACCCAACAGAATGCCCTACACGTCTACATGGGTACGCAAATACTCAATCTGTAGTTGCTCTGTTCAAGTTTTCTTCAAGTAGGTTTACGTTCTTTTTTTCCCCAGGGCTACCGCTTTCAAACGCATTTACGCAAACTGCGTAAGGCTATTGGCGGAGCTTTGTAGTTGGTTAGCCAAAAAAAAAAAAAAAAATGCACAGTTAAAGAGATGATCAGGAAAACGAGACGAAGAAAACCATCAGAGTTTAATTCAAGCTGGGAGCACAAGGACCCGCACAGTCAGTTCTGTAAGACCCGATTTTAACTTTGGCTCAGTGTGTTTTGTAGGAAGGAGTTAACGGCGGTTCTGAAGGATGAGGCAGATATGCAGAAATTCAGCGGTAGCTAGTTAGCTAGCTGGCTAGCATGTTAGCCTTTGCTAGCTTCTGTCAAGCTACGTTTCTCTGCTACCACAGAAGCTATCTAAACATTTGTAGTTGATAACATAATTTCCCGCTCAGCTGTTTCCAGCCATCTCTTCATACGGTTCATATCTTCTATTGCGATAACCGTGAGTCCTTTTAGCTGATGCATAAAGGTATATTTTAGACTTTGACTTGAAATTTGTTTCAATGAACCAAACATCTTCAGGCCAAGCACAAAAACTGCTGTGGCCTAAAAACCTAACTTCCTGTGCCATTCAGTTTCTGAGTAGCTTGGCTTAAACCAACGACATAAAAATATGTTTTTGCAGAATAAACAAGTTGTTTATGTCCGGTGTTAACAGCAGGCCTTTATAGTAGCCACACTGAGCTTTAATGTTATGGTGTTAAGCTAACAGAAGCTATTTGACCAAACTTGTCTTCTGGAAGCAAAAAAACAATAATCGCCGGGCTGATTTTTGAATTTAACAAATGTTGCAGTTTTAAATTGACTTTGACGCTTTCGTGTTTTTGTTTATGTAATAAGTTTCATTATGAGTAAGTAGGACGTCATAAAGGCCAGTTCATTGGAGTGTGAGTGGTAAACCAAGGCCATGTTGATGTGTACTATCTTCCCATAGTTCCTCTTAAAAGCCAATATAATGATAGATAAAAATGAATGCAAAGTGAGTTAATACAGGTTATTTTTCCCATCACCCCTCTTTCGCCTGCTGTAACTTTTCAATCTGCTGTTGCAGTGTGGCTCAGCGATTTGGGTCAGACTCTGAGCTTGTAGCAGGTTGTGGAGAGAAGACTTTGAGGTTTTGTGCAGGAAAGTAGGCGTAAGATAAACCGAATGTGAGAAACACATCAAACTGTCACTGCTTTAGTTTGATGATGTTCAGTGGAGGCCATGATGTTAAAGACAAGATAAAAGCCAGGTAACCTTACCTATAGATACTGTCAGCAACAGACACTCATTATTACCATGTTTTATTAGAGTTAGCTGTGTTTTTACACAACATTCAATCCATTTTGTTTGCTTTTTTTTTATTTGTAATCCTTATAGACCTAAAAGTCATTTTACAAAGCAAATTTACTGAAAGTTAGGAGGTTGTGAAGGTTCACAACCCTTTTAAAGGGTGTAAAAAAACAGCAGATATTAAATTTTGTTAAATTTATTTGATATTTTATTGGATAATTGGCTTTGTTACTCTCATCTTATAGGAGTTTTCGTTTGCAGAAAGTGTTGTGATTACTTGAGAGCTTTAGATTCTGTTAAATGTTCAATATGCAGGATGCACAATCGTCGTCATATTTGATTTTTAGGTTCGACTTTTTGTTTCCTGAGGTTACAGTGTGTGGGAGTGAACGTGTCTAACCCATCCTCACTACCAGCTGTAGAGCACCATTGATTATTTGTTTTTCTGTGAGTTGCTCAATCTGACAGAGGCCACAGTGGGAGGGAGAAAAAAAGGGAGGAAAAAAAGTCTGATTTGCTTTCAAGGGTATCTTCAACGACTAATATCTAACTAAGCTAAGCAGTTGTTTTTGTTTTATTATTTAGATTCTGAAATTTGATTTTAGACTGTCTGCTAAGAAGGGAATTTTGTTCCATTTATCTTTTTGTGAATATCTGAAAAAAAGGAATTGCCATAGTTTGTAAATTCAAATAAAAAAAAAATGCTATTCAGAATGGAAACTCTTAAAAAATTAAAGTTTTAATAAAAAAAAAAGGTTTTTAAAGTAAGTTTGCTGTTTTCATAGATTTTGTAATGTTTAATGTCTTTTTTTTTTTTTTGTCCAAATTTGCTTTTCAAAGCAACCAAAACTTCCTTTACAGAATGTGAAGCCAGGTGAATCACACACTGGCTTTTGAAGTGTCTTTGAAGTACAAGTGCATAGTCATGCTATTTGACATTTTTTAATTTTTCTAAGCTAGTAACTTACTCTGTTTAAGCCGGGGATACACTGTGCGATGTTTTCATTTGTTGCACGCAGCTACAGCTCAAAATAAACAATGAAACCGCAGGGTTTAAAAGTTCACAGCTCACAATTTTTGTTCTCACACTGTGCGACCCGACGCTCTGATGCGACCTACCTGCTCACTAGGGGTGTTAATAATAATAATTTTGTATCGATGCATCGAACCAACAGCCGACGATCCGATGCATCGACACGTCTGCAAAAGTATCGATTCATGTTTTGTTTTTTTCTCCTGTCTATTTGTATCCACTTGCTCCTGGTTGTAGTTCTGACTCCCATGCTGTGGTGGCGCTAAACCTATTTTGCCCTCCTACCTGGCTTCCTTTA